CCCGTGCCCCTCCGACTCCGGCCCCGCTCAGCACAGCCCTGGGAGCAGCGGGAGGAGGGGTCGCCCGCTTTGCACAGGGCGACCTCGCACTGCAGGTAGACCACCTCGTAGCCGGGGAGGAAGCTGAAGGCGTTGAACTTGAACTGGGCCGTGTTCCTCTGGTGAGAGGGGAGGCTGACGTAGGTGTCATCTGTGACGCACCTGAGGGAAGGGCCACACCGGGAGGTTAACGGAGAGCACAGGTGAGTCACTCCGGCTCCGCAATCAGGCTGGGACCCAGACCTCCGCATTCTAAATGGGGTTCTTCCCACCACCCCTTTCTCTGTTTTATGAAAAAATGTTTACAGCCCGGCCGGCGTGGCTCAGTGATTGAGCATCGACCTATGAACCAGGAGGTCCTGGTGTGATTCCCAGCCAGGGCACATGCCCAGGTTTTGGGCTCCATCCCCAGTGAGGGGTGTGTAGGAGGCAGCTGAATGATTCTCTCTCATCATGGATGTCTCGCTCTCTCTCTCCCTCTCCCTTCCTCTCTGAAATCAATAAAAACATGTTTTTTAAAAGGGTCTATCATTTCAAACCATCGCGTGCTCATGCTGCCATCATTACCCAGGGGGTGTTTCTGACCCGAAGGCCCCCCTCCCCAGGAGCCGCGGGAACACAGCCGCCCAGCCCAGCGGCCCCTCTCCTCACCCTTGCCGGATCAAGTCGTACTTGACAGTTGCAAAATCATGGGGGTCTGGAGAAGCCACACAGGTGTCCACAGAGACCCTCAGGCTGGGGTCGGGGCTGTGGAGTGTCGCCTGCAGGAACACCTCCTCCCTCTGGCCAGCGTCCTCGGGCCCCGAGCTCCCCACAGGCGGGGCCACGGGCAGCTGGAGGAATGCCGCAGACACCTCGTAGGCGGCGCCCCGCCTCGGCTCGTCAGCCCCAGGGACAAGTTCAACTGCCGACGGGCTGTCCACGGAGCAGGTGAACTTTAGCTGGGGCAGCCGGTGCCGCACGGTGAGGTGGCCGGGGGCGCCCCACGGCCGGCCGCGGATGGAGTTGGAGTAGCTGAGGGAGCCGCGGCTTTCCTGGGAGGGCGGAGGAGAAGGAGGAGGCCCAGCCTGGGCATCTCGCTGGGAACACGTCACGTTAAGCGTAGGAGAAAACGGCGCTGGGATTATACACTCAGTGCCTTTGGTGGTCTTGTCTCCTTCATGTCAGGGACAGTGGTTTGTGACATAAGCAGGTGGTTAAGGACAATGAAGTAAGCATATGCATTTCATTGTACATAAATGTCCAAGGTATTTACTGTCTAGAATGGAAAATAGAGCCAGCTCCTGGGTTAGAAACACGGCAGACAGACAGACAGACAGACCCTCAGGCCTCCCCGAGCCCAGCACCATGGCTTGCATGTGGCAGGTGTGCACTAATCTATGTACATAAAAGCCTAAGTGACTGTTACAATGGAACGCCCGGAACACTGGCCGGTCGCTATGACGTGCACTGACCACCAGGGGGCAGATGCTCAATGCAGGAGCTGTCCCCTGGTGGTCAGTGTGCTCCCACAGCCAACCTCCCTCGGCCGCCCAACCTCCCATGGCCCCTCCCCCCGGCCGGCTGGCCCCGACTGGCCCCGATTGGGACTGGGTGAGACAACAATCACCAGCCAGGCTGAGGGACCCCAACCATGCACGAATTCGTGCACCTGGCCTCTAGTACTGAATAAAGAAAGATGTTGTAAAAAATACTTTGGAGCTAAAGGAATAGCTCCCATCCCCCCCCATCCACCCATGCACCCACCCACCCATCCACTCATCCACCCACCCATCCA